TTTCCCCCGGGGGCTCTCCCCGGGGTGGGGGCTGCCGCTCCGTTTGGCCGTCGGCCTAACTGCCACATTCTTCTTTTACCTGGTCATTAGAGATGTCGTTTATTCCTATGTAGAAGATGGGAAAGACATCTCCTTCAGGATCATGGTGTCTCTGGCCAACAAAGTATTTATTTTGATCTTCTTTTACTGAAATAGCATAGTTGTTTTTTTTTCTAAATGTAATTGTTTCAATATTCACCTCTGTTCATCTCTCAGGTGTGTCCCATCGTGGCCATCATCATGTTGGCTCTGTGTTACCTGCCTGGTGTCGTCGCTGCCATTCTTCAGCTCTACAGAGGAACCAAATACAAGTCAGTTATCCAGAGATTATCTATTAACTTTTTAGCTCATGTCACTCTTTAACAAAGATTGACATTTGGCTTTACATTGAAACTGTTTTTTGTCGTAGGCGCTTCCCTGATTGGCTGGATCGATGGATGCTCTGCAGGAAGCAGTTAGGACTGTTATCACTGGGCTTTGCTTTCCTCCATGTTCTCTACACACTCATAATTCCTTTCAGGTATAATATGTTTTACCAAAAGTTTTATTTGATCAACCACTTACTAAGTGTAAAAACAACATTTGTGACCATTATCTTACCTAGAGATTCTATTGCAGTAGTTGTTTAAAACCATAGTACTGTATACTAGCAATTATTAGTCCTTTTAGTATTTGTTAGCATAAGCAATTCTCTCATTTTATGGATAGACAATTCATATAAAATCACCTTAAATTTTGGGACAATTCTACTTATTTTATTTATCTAATAATGTGAATATGACTTTACGCGTAGATAAACATGAAGTATATTTGGAATATACTTCATATTTTACAGTTGACAAGCTGGCACTAACCAGTTTAATTAGATAAACTGTTCAGGAAGTTAAAGCTGAAAGAAAAGAACAGTTATATACTGTATCTTACAGTGCATTTATAAAATGTTTTTTTTTCTCCTAGACATTATGTGAGATACAGAATTGCTGCAAGCACAATCTTAAAGGTAAGAAATCACACGTCAAATCAAATGTTTTTAGTGTTTATATTGAATGGGCCAATTGACTAGATTGTGATACATATACCTTATGTTTCGTATTTCTCCTCTAATTCTATTATTTGTCAACACATCATTACATCAAGTCATAATCCTTTATGTTAAAACATATTTTAAAATAAACACTAATTCTGCTTCTGAAAATAGTAAAAAATACATTTGATTTATTGTCCAACACTTCCAGATGAGAGAGAACACGACAGCAGTGCTGGACACCACCCTGGCCTGGCGCACGGACTCCTTCTACTCTATGGGAATTCTAGGCTTCGGTGTGTACATCCTGCTGGGAATTACTTCTCTTCCCTCCGTCAGCAACGCTCTCAGCTGGAGAGAGTTCAGCTTCGTACAGGTGAGTGACAGTGAGGATTTTGTTATTCTTTTTTATCATGGATCTAAATCAAACAAAGCTACTGTGAAAAGGGATGTGACAGGATGTGAGGCTAAATGACGATGATAATATATCAACTGGTATGTAAACATGGCGAAAAAGCCAATTAGAGTGACATTTGTTGGCAAGGTGGGACAGATAACCAGAGATCTAATCACAGACAAGGAGTGGCTGGTAGTAGAATAAACAGAAAACAGAACGACGGCAGGTCAGTTTAGAATTTTATATGTCCATATATACAGTATGTTAATCAATGATATCATATAATACTGGATAATTTTTTTATAATAATAATAATTATTAACAATAATAATAATAACAATAATAATTATGTGCCTGATAAAACATTTTTTAAAATATTAATATAAAAAATGTTTTATTAGGATGCCATTAAAGCTGAAATAGCACTTTATACTGTAAACAGATTTAATAGATGTTTAAATTAAATTAAATTAAATTACAATTTAGTCAAAAGATTTGGCCTATATTAAAAATACAGTGATTAGCAGACCAGTTTGATTCTTCTTACGATTAAAAATAAAATAAAAAAATCCAAACTTAGGTTCCAGTATGGATCAAATGACTTCCTCATCTCGTCTCTGTGGACTGGAGGTGCTGTAATTGACAATCAGATCGATGTTTCAGTTAATGCAAAGCCACTTGCTTTCAATATTAAACAGGCTCACTGCTGATTTCCACTTAGAATGTGTCCTGTGGAAATCAGCCTGTTATGAAATCTTCAGCGTATTTCTCCTATTAGACCTGTTTATGCTCTCGGCCTCTGGAGTTCAGATAAATGCAGAAACCTACTGAGATGCCACTGGTACCGCAGGGAATGTGGTGGAAAAACAAACAACAAGTTTGCTCTGTTTTTTAAATGACATCCTCTGACCGCCATTCAAGCTGTAACTCAGTGGTTCCCAAACTTTTTGGTTTGCAATGACAAAACACAAACACAAATTTCTGGCGACCAAAGAGACATTTTGGTATTGGTCATTTGTGCAGTCACATGATTGCAGTGTGAGCTGATGAGATATTTTTGTATGCATTTTATTTGTCATAAAAATAATTTTAAAAAGAAAATAGTTAAAAAAAATTTGATCAGCAAATAAAAAAAAATTAATTACTAAACATTTCAGGGGACCTCATTTGAATTCCAGGCAATCCCCCGTGGGTTTGTGACCCCAAGGTTGAGAAACACAGCCGTATAGTAATGGCTGTTGATGAGTCTGTAACTCAGCTCTGACACAAAACACAGGAATTCAATTTCTCATATTTAGTCGCTAAATATTTTACTGTATTTGTTTTCACCGGGGCAGACGTGAGTATTTTCTCCCCCCTTTTTTTGCACCTCACATTGACCAACGTGAATTAACATTGGACTGACTGCAGGGAATGAGCTCATTCATAAATGTAACTGGGTCATGTCACACTCATATTCTTCCAGCCTTCCCCTTTACTCCCGCTCAAATTAGAGCAACGCTTTAAATGTTAAGTTATTCATCAAGTGTAATTTTGGGGCATACGTTATCTCCGGGCAAAGTCTTTCAGTTGTGTTCAAGAGTTAAGAGCAGATGTGTGGCTCCACATAGGTTTATGTCTGGATCAGTGTGTGTGCACATTCACATTTATGCACAGTTGTTAAAATCAGGCTACTGCTGAAATAAGAAATAATACATGTAATATGTTTTTGTTATTATGCGCCGTAACTCTTTGTCTCGCTTCTCCCTCCTCCCCTCTCTCTTTCTGTCTTTCAACTCAGTCCAAACTGGGTTATCTCACGTTGTTCCTCTGCACCTTTCATACCTACCTGTATGGTTGGAACAAGTTCCTCAGCCCGTCTAACTACAGATGGTACACTCCTCCGGGCTACATGCTCAGTCTGGTATTGCCGTCAATTGTATTGGTGCTTAAACTGTTGCTCCTGGTGCCCTGCGTGGACCGCAGTCTCACCCGCATTCGACAGGGCTGGGAACGGACTGATCCGGAAGATGCCAGTAAGCAAGCCCTGCTAATGTAGCATCCCTCGACCCCCCCATTTAGAAGTTACCCTCCAGCCCCCCTACCTCCCCAGGAGCAGCTCTCCCACTGCGTTTTTTATAAACGCAATGACACTAAAGGCATTCCATTCTCATGTCTGAATTCCAGATTGAAACATTAGGTTACATGGAAATGAAAACACAAAGACTCTGCCGTATCACGTGAAGGTTTGAACAACAATCCATGTTCATAAAACCACACGGCTTCTCTTTTGTTGTTCCTGTTGAAATTGTTCTTGCAAACACGTTACATAATGACATTTTAAACTACATTTTATGCAGGAGCTTTTCATCTTTCTGAGGTCATGACCTCGTCCTCATATTAAATCTGTGACGGACTCATTTTTCTGTTCAGTTCTGTGAATTCTGTCATTCCATTTGATGGTGCTCATGTCTTCAGCTCCGACACAAACATCTACAGGCAACAGTATCTGGACCTGAATGTATCAGGAGAGTCGTCTTCCATGAGGGGAGACATTTTCCCATCAGGCTCAAGCACGTCCAATAAACTGCCCCTAAAATACATTAAAAATAAGGAAACAACACTGATAAAGAAATTTACCATAAACAAAAATACCCATAAGTACTTGGTAATGTGAGGAGCGCTGTGGGTATCAGCAACCTGACATTTAAAGAATGTAAAGCGACAGGTGAGGTCGACCTTTTGGGGCTTGAACCGAACACCTTTTTCCATTTAATTAACTGGAACTCATTCTTCACCAGCATTTGACTGCGATCCATTTAATGTATTTCAAGTTTTTTTCACAATCTTCAACAATATTGTATGGATAACTTGTGTTCACGTGATTATCTGTATTTCTTGTATGTAATTTGTAATGTTGAGATTTTTATTTGTTTGTTTTTCACCTTTTAAATTACATTTAATTGTGAATAGTCTACATTGTAGTCTGTGTTTTCATTTCTGTGCATTTTAGTGCATTGTTTTGAAAACCAATTTGACACTACCATAGTCCTAAAGTGATCTCTGATACGTTTTTGTTTTCCTTGGAAATATGAATCTAAAATATTTCATGACAATTAATACATTAATGCAGTAGTTTTTACACCTTTTGTTACAGCGCCCACTTCTGTTGAAAGGACTGTAGCCGAGGCCCCAACCATTTTGACACAATCCAAGCAATTGCCTCAAAACTCCAATTGATTTTATTTCAAACAATTTAAGTCCAAAAACACATTCTTACCTATAGAGAGAGAGCAAATCAGTTAACCATTTCGACTGTACACAATTTAAAACAATATTACAAATGAATTTAATATGACATGCGCGTTCTTCGAAAAACCACATATTGTACTACAAAACCTGGTGGTGGAGTCTTTAGCTAACATATTTTGACATCTCCTAGTTATATAGTCAGTAGTTATTTCAAACATTCATGCAGCAAGTCTGGGTTTTGCCGCATAAATGCAGACCGAAGGTGTCCTTGTGAGACCGGGTTGGTCCGGAGGGTGGGCCGACTAGTCCGGAGTTGGTCCAATTGCAGACCCGGAGATGTACGGCCTGGGTCAAATGTGGTCCGGCTTGCCTGAAGATGCACAACGAGGGTGTTATAGATGTTTACGTAACTGTGCCTGCTTACACCACACTAATAATTCTGCTGAAACAACAGGAAGTGAACGTGATTTCCACACCCTTTTGAAATAACACTTAAAGGAAGTAAACTGAGGAAAACTCACAGTGACATGTGGAAACAGTGAAAGAACATCAGAAGAGTCCAATCACAGAAAATCTCGAACAATGGAGTACAAGGTAAGAGATACATGTGCAAAAGTGAGTAACAATAAATGGCTAATAACTGAATTTGCTGATAATGCTGCATTAAATGTTAATGCTTGTGTTCATTTTGGATTCTTAGATGGCTTTTCTGCTCATGCTGGTGATGCTCACATCATGGGTTGCAGCTCTACAAGGTAAAATAGATCCAACTATTTATTCGACTAGTTCAGTTTTATTTTGAATTTGGTTGTCTTCTTCATTATCACATTATTGTTTAAAATAAGATTATTTCATGTCCCGACACTTATACACTATATCTTAAAAAAAATTTAAATGATGCCTGCAAATAAAACAATAAAGACTTTAAATGAAGGTTTACTTAAGGAAGACTTAATGCAGCTATGCATCTTAGAAAAAGGAAGTCATTGTTGCTCAAGACATCCCTCTCTCACACACACAGCAAAGCTCCTTGGGAATGTGGCATACAAATCTTAAATTATCACCATTTTGTCCACAAAAGCCACTAACTTCATGAGCATGAGCCTTTTTGAAATCTGCAACGTAACTAAAAAAAAAACACTCTTATTATAGGTTTATGTTTCAGTTTGTTTTAGAGACAGGACAGACAAAATACAGTGTACAAAAAATTGGTCAGCTGTTGAAAAAGCCCCAGTAAAAATACTAAAGATATCGGTAAATGTGGTCCTTTAATATATAATTAAATTTTATTACCAACAGATGTTTAATAACTAAATCTGACCATTCAAGTATTTGTTGGACAAAACCAAAAAACTTTAAACAAATAAAATGAAAGTCTATTCACTATATATTTGTTATAACTTTGTCATTGATATATGTTAATATTTATTTGAAATCATGGTTAAACGTTAGGATGTATTTAATATTTTTGTATCTACGTGCTACAAAAGGCACAGCTTAAAGATTTAGTTTTGATTACACACAAAAAATGCAAAGTAAGTAAAATAAAGAAGAAAAAAAAACAAATAAGAATTTTTTTTTCTATTTTCAGATATGTCAGGAAAGATGTTTACCTTCCCAATAGCGTCCAACAGAGCGTATGTAAAACTGATCACAGGAACACAGGAATTCAAAGCTGTCACGATCTGCCACAGGTATGACAGACTATAAGAACCTTCTGTATGCAGTGTAACATACGGTACGTTACAGTAACGTTGTCTGTCATGTCTGTAGGTCCTTTACAGACCTGCGAAGAGATCACGCTCTCTTCTCTATGGCCACACCCTCACATTACAACAGCTTCCTGCTATTTTGGGATAACACAAACAAGGAGTTGGAGCCTCATGTAATGGATAAGAAAGCGGAATATGCTGGACTGGATTACAAGATGAACATGTGGCACTCCATTTGTACTACATGGGACAGCACGTCAGGAATAGTGCAGATATGGTTTAATGGATGGCCTTCAATCAGAAAATATTCTGTAACTGGACAGATTCAGAGTAGCTCTTTTGTCATTATCTTAGGACAGGTATAATAAGAATGACAACACTGCAGCTGGATTTACTTAGACACGACTGTCAAACGATTGTACATTAATATCATTCTTACTTTTCTGCCCATACAGGAGCAGGACTCCCATGGTGGAGGATTCGATCAGAGCCAGTCTTTTGTGGGTATGATGACAGACGTCCACATGTGGAACTACGTCCTCTCTGGCTGTGAGATTAGGAACTACTCAGATGAACGGAACTTCACACCAGGCAATGTGATCAGCTGGAAGGCACTTGAATTTGAGATTGTTGACAAAGTGCTGATAGAGGATAGAGTAACACAGTGCTACTGAACCTAAACACTGGTGCTTGAAGGGTCACAGATGTTACCATAACAAAGGATAATTAATCTCTGTTGCTATATACAAATGTATTTAAGCATACACAAACCTTAAAAATAACAAAAGATGGTACTCTTGATATTTACTGTCAATGTGTAACCTTTACTAACTGAAAGAAAACCATGAGAAACGCAAAATTAGCTAATGAACTGACACAGACAAAAAACACTTTAGCATGATTAGCATGAAGAATTAAATTAGCTGCAAAGGACGCATTGTAGACTGTTAACTTAGGGTCAACTTTCACCATACACAAGAGCAAAAAATCTACAGCAACACACTGTAGTGGCGGACAGACAACGGGAGATTTTATTTTTTAACAATTTTATTTTTGATAAATCTTTACTGTTTAATTTTTTTTAGGTTAGAAAATAAGTTACTGAACAAATCTCCGAAAATAAGTTTCTCAAAAATGACTAAAAATAAACTAATTTGCCTTAAAATACTTGGCTATGTCCATTTTTGTGTTTAAAATTCAGAAAAAAATATACTTTTTTGGTACGCCAACCTTTGATCACAGTATACCAATAAATTCCTGAACAAATCTCCGAAAATAAAAGTTTCTCAAAAATGACTAAAAATACACTCATTTGCCTTAAAATACTTAGCTATGTCCGTTTTTGTAGTTGAAAATCCAGAAAAAATATACTTTTTAGGTACTCAAACTTTTGATCACAGTATAACACTATACCAATAAAATCCTAACCAAAAATCACCGAAAATAAAGTTTCTCAAAAATGACTATGAACAAATCTTCGAAAATAGAAGTTTCTCAAACATTACTAAAAATACACTAATTAGCCTTAAA